AACCAAAATTTCAAACTTGGGATTTGCTTTAACCTTGAATGACAAGACTTTGAAACATCACCGTGACTTTCTATAAAGCAACCTGGACACCTGCCACAAACAAAACAAAACCAGTGCCAATAACTATCTGCAGCAGAACTAGCAGGCTTTATTGAAAGCGACTAGACAGACATCAACAGGATTTACAAGAACTCATCTTGTTCTTGACTAATGCCAGCGCTAACAAAGGATATCAGGTTGAAGGCTGTTTGTCCTGACCTTGGTCTTGTTTGTTTACATTCATAATGAAATGCTGCCATAATGAATTAGATGGTGTTTACAAAGGCTTGCTGCGGTACTGTTGCTTGTTAGGCATCTCAAACAGTAAGACCAGATCATGATGATAATCTCTATTATTAGTCTTTTCAATAACTCCTCTCAGTCCAACTATCGCTCACTCTTATCGCTTATTTTCCTCTTTCTCTTGCTGACGCTCCTTTACACAAACCTCTAAACCTCCCTGCACTCCTTCCCTCGCCTCCTTAACTCTCATTTTCCTTTCTGTTGCAGTCTCTCCATCCCAGAGTCCTTCGCTTCCGCAAAGTGACACATTCTGAACCTTCACACACAGCGAGGTCTCTTGGCCTGCAGTGGGCCTCTGCCACAGTGCAGCAGAATTGCTCACTGGCTGCATTATCCAGCAACATGCTCTAAAAAAGGAAAGAAAGTGTAATCGGGCGAGCAGCCCGTGTGCACCGAAGCTGCAGCTTGTACGATTGTATCAGTGACTCTAATAAGAACAGACAATATTCTTCTGAGGGGGAAAAAATATCAACCTTATTTTCAGGTACAGACTTGGGAAGGTAAACTTTCACTGACCTGACCTAAGAGTTGAGAAACTCCTTGACAGAGACGGAGTAAGTTTTATTGTCTCATTGGGTTTTTCTCTGCCTTTAAATGAATAAGTAACTGAGAGTGGAGTCTCAGTGTCTGCTGTGGAGTTAACTCGCTTACTGACTAACAGCAGCAGAAAACTACATGTCCTGAAGCTGCGCCATCAGTATCCAATGCACTGAGATTGTTTCTATGTTCCAGTTTTTCAGTTCAGCGTCTTTTTGCATGAAGTTGCTTTTAAAAGTGATAGAAAACAGAAGACCTTTGCTTTGATCGAGCGTGCTGTTTTGATTTTAGCTTTCCTGAAACTTTACAAGGTTGTTTTTTAATACATTTAGGGGACTTGAAGGACAGTACTAAAAGGAATATTTAAAACTGGCAAAGCAAAGGCTGACACATTTGGACCTTGTGTGGATTGTATGAGTCGATCTCCAAAAGCACAGGATTTTTCGTAACCCATTAGCATCCTTTTGTTAGAACCTTCTTCCGTCTCGTAAAGTCCATTTACTTTGCTGACTATGTCATTAATGAAGAGAACACCTTCAGTGCTTGTTTTCTTAGGCTCCTTCTGAGCCACAGAAGATGTTTTATAAAGGATTTTTCTATTTCTACTTCCATTTCTGGGAAGTTCGCAGAAATCAACTGATAATGAAACCTTGTCCCAAAAATGTTTTGGGTAAATTTAGAGAGTAATTACATTTTTCACGATTATTTATAATAATTCTTCATGACGCTTAAAATGGTCTGTGAGATTTTGGCTGAAATCGAGTCGTCAGACCAGACAACATTTTTCCAATCTTCTGTTGTGTGCTTTAGCCCATCTGCTTGAAGGTTCGTAATGTTGTGTATTCAGAAATCCTCTTCTGCCAATCTCCTCCAACATCAGGAAGACCAAAGAACTGCTTCTCATTGGATAGTTTCTGTTTGTCAAACTATTCTCAGTAAACCCTAGAGATGGTTAGGTGAGACAATCTCCACAGATTATCAGTTTCTGAAATACTCAGACCAGCACATCATGCACACCTTTCTTCCCCGTTCTGATTCACAGTTGGAACTTCAACAGGTCATCTTGACAATGTCTACATGCCTAAAGGCATGAAGTTGTTCTAACTTGCTTGGATGATTAGATGTTTACATTAGCAAGCCTTTGAAAACGTGCACGTGATGAGCCGGTGAGCGTAGACATACTGTTCTAATGATGTACTGATGGATGCTTATAGAAAACATGGCAGAAACTCAAGCTGTTTTCAAATGCTTTTTCTATTCTTGGATGACGTTAGTCAGAGAAGGATGTCCTTAATATGGTCATTTCAAGCCCACGCCAGGAGGGTGCCAGCCAATCAGAACAAAGTTGGCTCAGTCTGAAATGGCTACAGTGAAACCAGATTATTGCAGTTTGTAATAGTTTAAGCTTTAAATTATTACACTAAACTAAACTGTTTTTGTAATTCCCTGGAGAGTACACATATAGTTTTACATATACTAATGTTATCATTCTCCAGAAATCTCTGTCGCTTTTACCTGTGAAGTACAAGAATTCATAGCTGCTCGGGCACATTAACTGTGATAGCGCCTATTATTTTCATTCATTTCAAAGCCATAAATTCAACCGACCATAGTCACTAAAGTGATAAATCCATGACCCAAGCTTAATCAAAGTAAGAGAAGTTCATGAGGTGAAGTTATAGTTGCTTGGATGAACAACTTCATGCAGACATGTCCAATGACCCATGAGAGCCTAATGGGGGGCCCTTTTGTTTCTAAACATCATATAACCTGCCAGTGCTGAAGTGATGGGCTGTGGAGAGGAAGCGCGTTGAGATGAATGAATAATCACACCCAGCAGGTGGGACAGGTCTTGAGGTAGATGTGTTACGGTACAATATAATGCATTTTGATGTTAAAGTAGTCGATTCAAAGTGTTTATGAGACCTCTGGATAGAAGCGCTTAGCCTGATAATCAAACCCATTCCTTAAATTAATGGACAGGTTATATACTTTGTCATTGGCTGACGGGCCAAAGCCTCTCCTGAATCTTAAATCTTCAGATAGTTAAGGCGAAGCAAAGATTAAGCAGAGGAGTGCTTTTTAAGCGTAAACTGGCAGATTGTCAAGCCTGCTGTGGGAAGTTGGGTAACTCATACATCTTGTTGTAGAGCAGATTGCACTCAGTGGGGGATGCACCTGGCATGCTTAACCTCACTGCCCAGGGCTCCTGTGAAATAAAAAGGGCATCGGTCCAAAACTCTGCTCCGTGGTGCTTATCATTCCTTCCCTGCTGGCTCCGAGGACTTTTTACTCATCGCCACTGCATCAGAACAGATAATGTGATGGATTTGTACGGAGTGCTGCTGAGTTTGTCATCGGAGTTGTGTCAAATTATGAGACGAGCAGACCCCTTAAGAACAAAAGGCAGAAATTGAGACATAGCATCATGACACAGGACTGAGCGTAACTTAGCAGTGAGCCGATGCTCAGTTTGAAGAAGTGACAAGTTATGATTGGTGATGGTTTAGTCTCGTGTTTTGTTTTGTTTTTTTCTGATGCTCTTCATCTTTTTGGCAGCTTATTTGGCCAGAACAAGGGTACCGGGCTTCCATAACATTCTCAAACTCCACAACTACCTTAAACTTCTGCCCTTTCTTACTCCCAATGTGAAAAGGGCTCCATCCATCCACCCATCCATCTTCTTTCATTTATTCAGTTCAGGGTCTGGAGCCTGTCGTAGCCGTTAGAGGCTGGGCACAACCTGCACAGGCCACCAATCTGTCACAGGGCTAACAGGTAGAGACAGGCAACCACCGATGCTCATATTCCACCTTAGCCTAAATTTTGACACTTCAACCTGAATTACTGAAGTCAAGGAAGAACAGACTGAACTCTGCAGACTAACCTGCATGTTGAAAAGTGACACTAGAGTGACAGATAGGTCTGGATTTACAAAACGTGCAAAATAGCATGTGAGCGGGTGATTTACAAAAGAGCCAAGGTCTCAAACTAAGACACGATATTCAACTAATAGGGCAGGTGTAGCTCGTTCATTGTAATTGAAAAAGCATATAAATATAGGTTCGACATTACGGAGGCAGTATGGCAGACAGAGTCATTATAATTCAAACAGGCGTCAATAATGAGTGAAATGAAAACCTTGTGCGCTGTCCATGGTCCTGAAATTATAACAGTTTCCTTTAAAAAGATTTATTCAACTCAAAATTGAAGCATATCGACACAAATACACTGAAAAACAATCAAACCAATTCGAAACATCAAAATGAAAATGGACCACTGTTAAGACTTTCCAAGCCAGACTTCCATCCAAGTGCTCATTATGTTCAGAAAAGTAAATGGCCTTTTTAGAAAAGGGTCCAAAGTTAATGTTGTCGTCCCTCCGTTCTCTTGATTCTTCGGCGATGTGGAAGTCCTGCCACAGAAGCAACGGTAGAAAAGAACCTGATACCAAAAACTGAAGAGTTGCAAGACGTTTCATTACCGTTGGTGTTGCGTGACTTGTTTTAGTTGGAGGTTCTAGGTTATCTCCAAGTTTCCTGTGGAATTCCAAATAAATTGACATGAATCAATAAATGTGTGACGCTTCCTTGGATGTGCTGCGGTGTCTCCTCCAGGCAGAAATAACGGGCACGATATTAAGCGTAAAAGCAAAAATCTGAGTTTAGTGCAATTAGCAATAAATTGTGTGCTGTGAACGTTGATAAATAAGTTTGCAGCTTCCTTTTTTAGAAAGGGAATCCTGTGAAGGTACACTTGATTGATAGTCTATAGGGGCTTAAATATTGCTTTCATGCCATTTACAAATTCAGTGTATTTGTAATTTTTGTGTGTGATTGTTTGTGGTGTCATTCGAACCGCTTGATTTCTATTGTGTGGGTTATTTTTCTTTGTACTTTTTTGTTTAATCTGTGGACCGCAGGAAAAACGGTTGTTTCTGCCGTAACAAATGATGGGGATCTGAATAAAGAGTGGGGAAGGTTTGAAGACTCAGACTGACAATACTCATACTCAGTTCATACTTTATACCCCCCTAATGTCCCGTGTTCTGGATTCTTAGCCCTACTGCTCAGTCCGATACAGCTTTAGTTTAACCCTGTACTTGTTCCTCTCTTTCCAAGGAGCACTAGAGACAGCGACGCGGACGACGAAGACGACGATCGCCGGGTGAGTCGAGGCTGCACCCTGCAGTACCAGCGGGCCCTGGTCAAGGTGCTCACACAGTTCCACACCACCTCCACAGAGGGCACTGACCAGGTTATCACCATGCTGGGACCCGACTGGCAGGTGGATGTCACAGACCTGGTGCAGGACTCCCTGAAGGTGGCTGATCCCAGGATTGCGGAGTTGGTGGACAGGACGGTCCTGGTGGGCCTGGAGCTGGGATCCACTGTGCTGAAGGTAAACTCCTTTAGACACCCAGAGATTCACATTAATCAACAGGGAACAGTTAGGAGCCTTGTAAATGACAGATGATGCATGCATTAGCTTAAAAGATGAGGAACAAAGCACATTACTCTTTACAGTACTCTTACGCCAGCGAGCAGAAGGGCGGTTCTTTTGAAGACTCTTAGCACTTTGACTAAAGGATAATGCTAGGCCTCATGTCCATAGCTGAGGCCATCGTTGCTGGTTAATCTACTAACATTGCACAGTGCCAACCAAATCAGAACAGGAAAAACAGACCAGTAATGCCTGTAATAATCCCGCATTATTAAGGTAAACTCAGTGCATGCACAACTAAAGAAGCTGTGGTTGATAGTTACACCCAGAAGACAGACGATAAGCGGTGATGGTGGGTTGCTGCATACAATTCGGGGGTAATTTCGCAGCTCATCTTTGTTTTCACTTCTTCCCTCAAAACCCTTGTTTGTCGGTTTGATTGCTTCTTTTTCATCATGCCGTGTTCCCTAAATCTCAGCAATAAATTTGACTGCAGTTTAATAACATGGAACATAACGCTGAGGTTGTCATAAACAAGATTTATCCTTGAAGTTTATAGCCTCCAGCCCTTTCACAATCGTGCCACTTTTTACCCTTTTTCCTTTTCACTTGTTGTCGATTGTGAAACAAAAGCCCATCAGTCTGTCTGTAAGCGTATGATGCTGTTGATGTCCGCTTCTCTCAAGCAAAAGAGCTGCTTGACATAAAGTGCATGTAAATGCGTCAACCGAGACAGGTTCAGAAGTCCTTATAAAGAAAGCGGCACAAGTTATTACTCCTGGGCTGTGATTTACGATTGCTTCGCTGGTCATTTATGGGGACAGAGAGAAGTAACGGTTGGTGAGAGTTTTGCTCACCATGAAAGATCACAGTTTCCGCCTGTCAGGGGAAAGAATAGTTGCCTGATGGATGCATCTGATGGTGGTGAAATAGGGAGAGAAGATATGAGTTGCCATTCCATCATTTTAAATGAGCAGTAGATCATTTGTAATCTGTTGATGGGTATGAATAATTATATATCAATTTACCACCAGATGTAACTTGCCACATTGACTCAAAGCAATTGTACTAAATAAATAAATTAAGTTTTAAGAGACCGTGCCATCATTCATTTTGAAAGTTTTAAAAAGAATAGTACTGAATCCAGGATGGTATCATTCAGCAAATGTCCAGAAGTCAACAAGACGTCAGAGCTTTGCTGGCAGCTCTAAAGCTGCACTTAAAGCACACATGGCAGTATTTTGTGATCATCAGTATACACTAAATACTACTGACACCAATGGAAATGCTGTTTGCAGGTATTTCTAACACATTTTTAAGAAGTCAGGTTTGTGTCGCCGCTGGAAAAAAAACAGTGGCACCGCCATGTCGGCACCAGATTCCGTGATCATTCATCCAGGAATCATGGAGACAAATCAAGGCGTTGTTTTCCCAGGGTTCTGTCACACTAGCAAATAAAAATAGGACAGCAACCTTCTTCCAACTAGAAGGTAACCACTTCACAGTGGTTGCCAACTGGTGGGAGGCAACCAGCCACCGAACGATAGTGTTCTAATGCAGGCTTAGTAAATCACATGATAGCGTGGGGCTAGGTTTACTTAATTGTGACCCACACCCATTTTCGCACCTTGGCACGTGTGATTAGGCAGAAGAACAGTAAGAGGTCCACGGCCCTCTTTGGGACACTCCCACAGGGCTTAAAAAATCTGGGATGCCCCGCCCATTGCTCTTAGAACTGAAGAAGCATCTCGGAACGTAAAGAAATCTAGACGCTTTTTTTCCCAAACTCCTTAGACTAATGCATGTTTGCTGTTTAATTTATACATGTAGACAGAATGCCAGCATGTTGAAGTTAGTCTGAGTCGGTTTGATGAGCAACACATTGCTCTGCAATCGAGATCTTGACCCATCTGGTTATATTCTCATATAAAAGCAAGGTTGCCCAATGTCTATATCAGGGGTGGGTAACTCCAGGCCTCGAGTGCAGGTGTCCTGCAGGTTTTAGATATCACCGTGAGACAACACAGCTGAATCACATGATTAGGTCATTACCAGGCCTCTGAAGAAGTTAAAGACATGTGGAGGTGGACCTTTCATAATTTGAATCAGCTGTGTTGGATGAAGGACACATCTAAAACCTGCAGGACACCGGCACTCGAGGCCTGGAGTTGCCTAACCCTGATCTATATCATTTTGCAGTTAAACTGCCGTCCTGTAGTGACGACGTCACGTTTGTGGAGGATTTTATGAATCGTTTTGAATGTCGGCACATTTTTAATTGACCTCAGATCAGCAGGCAGAATAGGAATGCAGGCACAGATCTGATCCAGGAACAGTTAAAAGGTCTGTGCCTTATAAACAATGAGCACTGATCATTTCTGTGCATGTAGATGACAAGAAATTAGCGATTTTCTGCAATTTATCACAGTCAATTCTGACTTGACCCCATTTACTCACGAAGTAGTAGCAAACGGATTCCATTTTCTCGCCATATTGATGCACCAAAGTTGATTTAAAGGCAACCTGGTCCCTGTTTTCCAAGCAACCATTTCAAAGCCAACAAGACTAATGGGAAAGACCGGTTTAGACATTTAGAGCCGCTCCTCTGACATCACCAGGGTGGACGTTATTCCCCATTTACTTTGCTGTAAGTTTAAGCTCCAAGCGGGACGTTAGCTCTTCATCAATATTATTATTAAGTCAAATGATCAGTAAGCACTCAGACAAAATTAAAACTCCAGCTGCTTCGAGAGTCCGCCTTCTGCCCCTGCAGCTCAGTCCCTGTAGGTGTTAATGAACAACTGCAAAGTGGAAGGCAACTTAATGGAAAAGTGCAACGTTAAAGCAACTTGGAGGAAACAGAGATTAGATGTCTGGGCACCAGCTGTTCAGTAAGACAGACCGACGGCTTACAAAACTGAAACTACAAAGAAGTTTAGAGATCAGAGCATGTTTTACTAAGAAGACTTTCTGAAAATGAACTGCATATATCTCAACAATGGTCCTCTTGCTGAATTTTTCAGTCTGTCAGAGGCTCAAATTATCTTTGAGCCTTATGAGGCTGATTCAAATTGTTCACCAGCTCATGAATAGGAATAAAGAGAGGAAACAGCTCTTCACCATTTAGTGCAGTATTTCAGACAGTCATTTGATTTCAGGCTTTTTGTGCTGGCAGTTGCTGATTATTGCATGAATTAAGCCCTTCTGTGTTACATCTGACAGGTCTCTGCTAGGACAGGGACAAGGAAAAAAAACCTGCCCTTCAAGAGGTTCAACCATAAATGTAACAGATGCTGTTTTTTGTGTAAATGTTATCTTTACGTTCCGAGATCAACAATCAAAACGATGACTTTCAATGAATATCCGCTAAACCTGTTGGGAGCCGTTGGGGAGGGGGTTTAATCCAGAGGATTACTGAACAATAGCTGCTTCCTAAAGTCAAAAGCCAGACTTGGACAGTATTCAGCGTTCGTCCTCAGATCCGCATTATTCATTTAATATGTGCAAACACGCAATCACCCGGCGACAGACGGCAAACTGGAAATAAAATTGAGTCTAATCTACAGGAATTTTAATCAGTATTTAAAATATATAAATATTAGCGCACCTTAACAATGTGAAAAGTTTCACAGACATATTAAATGGATTTGCTGGGCAAATGGTGGCATTCATTGTCAAAGAATCCAGCTGGAGTTGCACAGATCTATACAATTAATTCATCTTTCTGTGTTTATCACAGTCTTCAAATGCAATCACATCTTTAGTGAAAAGTAGACGGATGTAAATAATTTAGCGGAGCTCCACAGGGGAAAGGATCAAACATGCATTAAAGTGTTCGACGGTTCAAGAACTGCTGAAATATGCAGGAATATCGGCATCCGTATCACATGAAAGCAAACCTGCTTACAAACTGAAAATGCATACACGAGGGCGTGATTATACGGAAATGTATTATTAGTCCCAGCATCAATCCCGAGACGTGAGATGCACAAGAGCAACGTCTTATGACTTAGGACATTTGTCATGTGTCATTTCCCCCTCCCATCTCTTATCTGTGTGCTTTAATCCGTCCAATAAAATTGAAGATGCCCCCCGAGAAGGTAATTTTACTTGTGTGACTATCAGGGACACTGGGCAGACCGCTCTGCTGCGAAGCTCTGTAGCCGCCGAGGGAACCCTTGCCTCGCAGGAGGAGGACGAGGAGGAGCAGAGGTTTATTCCGCAGCTGTTGTACCCACTTACTGAGAGTGTGGGAAGCTGTGTAATTGCCCGAAAGTTTACATGACAGTGAAAGTTGCAAGCAGAGAGGTCGTGTTTAACTTTTTTCCACAGCGCTTCAAGAGGTATTACATTTGTATTTCATCAGTTCATCCTCTTGGAAGAGAAACGCTTTATGTTTTGTGCAAACAAGCATAAAGAGGGAAAAACATCTCGCCGCTCGTCGGTGTTAATTACCCCGATGGAAGGCATAATGAAAAATGCCCATCATGTCTGCGAGATGAAGGCGAGAGCTGGGAGAAGTCAGAGTGCAGCCAGACTAAATTGACCTGTCGTGCGAGTCCACAAAAACTAAAAACCTGGCTTCAGCTTATTGCGCGCTCTAAATATTAAATCGCATCAGAAGTTTTCGTGATTCGAGTTATGTGATGTTTTTAACCATCGCCGCCTCGCATGTGTTCTACAACAGCTAGGTACAACAACTGGGTTCGAGGTGAACTGTGAATGTGCTGAAGTGTATTAATTATGCAGTGTTTACTTCTCCAAAATAGAAAATCTATTTGCTGCAGAAAAATAATAAATAATACTACTTTTTTTTTTTTCACTTTTTCTATTTACAGTACCAGTGAATTTCCAGCTGGTTGGAGCTCTCTGTATATTCTATAAAAACAAAGATAAAACTACATCCTCACTCTTTGGAGGTCCCAAGTGGCAGCAAGAGAGAAAAAAAAGAAAAGCTG